TCAGTTTGGAGGTATTCCGTTCAGAATCAGCTTCTCATCATTAAGCTGTATTTGCTTAATGGCCAGTATTCTAACTTGGTTTCTTTCTTTTGTGATTGACTTCTGCAACACTCTTCTTTCATTATTACAAAGCCAACCTAACTGGCTAGCTTTAACACAATAAAGCCTTTTAATTAGAAAGCCTTTGTTCTAGTCTGCCCTTTCCAGTTTAAGATTACAATAATAAACGAGCCATTTAGGAAACTGCCATCTGGACACAACCAGGACAATCAATCAATCATCCTGAGTTTTTCATCCTAAACCTCAGAATACAGCAATCTATCCAATAATAGATAGATTTTGGAGTAATGACGCTGCCAGACATTATCCAAGTACAGCTCAGAAACTGAACTGGCATGTTCATGCTCATCTTGATATGAGACAAAGTTATGATCCCCGAAAGTTCCTTTCCAGTTTACATTTTATTCCAATCTGGACTGCAACAAAAGTCTTAGATCCCATCATTCCAGTCTCCCAACCTACTTTCTCCAAGCTCTTTTCCTTACAGTACTTACTTTTCTTCATATAATGCCTGGCACACCCCTGAGGCTGCATGCAATGTGCAAAAAGTGCTAGGAATTTTCATTTTTCTGGTGCTACTAAACTGTGACAGTAAAAATAACATTCTCAATTTGTGCTTGGCATGTTGCCATAGCAACATGCTGAGCATCAGAGAGGAAAAAGAGACAATGCACTAGAGTGGCGACAAAGGTAAGTTTGTACGGATAAAGGGAGAAATTCAGGAGTGAGGGATGTTGGCCTTAGGGGGGAGTGAATGTGAACAGACACCACTGCACATCTATCAACACCTGAGGCACAGCATGCTCTTCAACAGACTTTAACTAGGGTTCCAAAATATATGCCTTTGGAGGAATAGTTTGTAGAATTGTTCTGAGAACATTTTGCACACAAGAAAGTGTGGAATAGATGATGGATTGTGAAGCTGAAACCAAAGGCAAAGAGAGGTGAAAGGGGAAATTGTGATTTGAAGAAGCAGGCAAAGGAAAAATAAGAGGGCAAGAATGGTTTTGTGAGAAAAACCACAGTGCTTATAGTCAGGAGAAATTTTTAGGCTATGTAGGAGGGAGGAATAGGAGTACCAGAATAGCTAAAGCAAGTGGACAAAATAGGCAGAAGATGCGAAAGCAGATGCCCAAAGAAACAGTAAGTAAAGATATAATAAAATGGAGGCAACACTTCCTTCTAGCAAACAATTACATCCGCTGCCTTCAGATGACAGGTGTCTCTCACTTTTTATGCTGTGACTGCCAGACAGGATGTTACACAGAGAAAAAAAAATCTACAGGCTGTTTATGGTGAGTTCATTTCATTATGAAGGGATTGAAGCCCTCTAGGTTGAGCAAAAGCAAACAAAAATTTAGCTGCAGTGCATATCCTAATGCAAAATAATTCCTGTGTATCACAGGCAACTGTCTTGTAATAAGCTGCAGGGTACTTTCTGATTTTTTCCAACAATTTGAAACTGATGCACATTATAGCATAAACATTAGGCTGCTAACTTGGGGGTGGGGTGGGAGAGTGCTCATACACTAAAGGCCCACAATCAGATTCTGTCTTTTCTTACATTTTGGTCTGATTTTTAATCACACCTTAATTTTAAGGATTGTAAGTAAGTCTGCATCCTGAATGCAATGACCATGTTTGTGCATACTGATAAACTAGGATTCCTGGCTTATCACATTTTATTGTGAATGAACAGCAGCATAGTGGTAAAAGCAGCCTGTTGGTTTTCACTTTGCTGCCCCTTCACATAAGCATGTTACATAAGCTAAGAAAGGAGAGATTATTGTGATATCCCTGGATTCCAGAGGTTGTTGCTGGCTTACAAATCCTGACTTTTTTGGAAGCAACAAAACAGTTCTGATGTCCTGATAAGCTATACATTTCTGGTTAATGCTACCTCCTTGCACAAAGGGAGCAGTGAAGCTGGAGTGAACAGGCTACATTCACCAGCTTGTTACTTACTTATAACAAACCAGGATAAGCCAAACGTCCTGGTTTACTGCTATAACACAGTCTGTTTGACTTCTGACTAAGCACACTAGGAACAGTATTATTAATGGCAAGCTTGTGTTTCCTGCTTGCTCATGCTGTAAACATAACTAATTCAGAAATTTTAGCACTAAGGAGAGGTACATTATGAACATGTCTGTAGATATGCAGAGATACTACACATATAAACTGACTTCATTCTTCCAACAATTACTCAGAAAATTTACTGTATGAGCAAAGATGTCTATAGCAGATTTAATAGTGCGCTAGAGGGGATTTGAAGGTCACCTAAATCACTGGCAACTGTCCATTTCCATTTCAATTCATAATGCTGCTCTGGATGAATGCATGGATGAAATGTCCCTCTTTCTGATGAGCTGCAAAAGCTTGAACAATTAATGCAGAGATCCCAACTTGCCCAGTATCTGAATACTCTTCATTTCCTAGCATAGATCCAGAGAAAGGGCAGCTAGCCACCAATTACATAGGGAGCTAACAGGATTCCCAGAATTTGCCTTCAACTCTACTGGAATATGTTCACGTAACAGTTGAGAAGGCAAACTTGCCCACAAAGCAGCAAGTTAATTAATGGGAAACCTGAACTCACATCAGAGTGCCATCATGTGGTTATGAGACTATTTCACAAAAATAGAGATGCCACCAACAACCAGATCATACCGCGGATGTTGATTTGTGAAGTTTCCTCAGCCGCTTTGCAGCCCACCTCCCCTGAAGGCTGTTCTACTCTGCATTGATATTGGGCTCTCTAGAAACTAGTCCCATCTCCCATGGCTTCACACGGGTGAAATGTAGTGTAATCAGGGACAGCATTAAATTCCTCGCATATTAAAAATATGCAGGCAATTTCTTTAAGATAGTCTCTGTCTCTTGGCCTCCTCTCCTATACTGTTCTGCCACTTTTTAAAGGTGCTTGCTCAGTTGGCAAATAAAAATCATAGGTATTACAAAAAGGGAAAGTGGGAAAAGTTTGGCAGTTGTGAAATCAAGAATTTGAGGATATATATTTTTCTGAATAACCACTGAAGCCACAATGAAGGGAAATCTGGTCAACAGACAATTGTCTTAATTATTAAAAAAATTTCTATACCACTCTTCATCGAAGTAGATACCTACACAGTTTACAATAATTAAAAATACAAAATTGAAATATAACATGTATATGTATAATCACGTATCTGGTGCCAGAGGAAGACCCTTCATTCAATCTATGTTAAAATATTTATGAACTTGGAAGGTTCCTATGAAACCAGTCTACTTCATGCTATTAGCAGTAAGTAAGCTATGAGAAAAATTGATCAGAATAATAAATTGAAGTTGCTGGAAGTTTCTTTCACCACATTTACAATGAGCAGAATTCAAATCTCAAACTGCATGCCTGGGCATGCATACTCAGGCAGGCCAAAATCTTGCATCCTCTCAGTTTTAGCTTCCTTTGTCTCCCAGCATAGTGAAGATTGAAGAATAGCACTTTTTCTCCCTGTCAAAATATGCAAACAGCCCCTTCTTCCCCCACATCCCCATACATTTTCCTTCATCTACCTTGCAAGAGTCAGTTTTGTTGTTTCACAGCACATTAAGGACAGCTGGCTTAATTCTTTCCAGAGCTCTCTGATTCTTTAAACATAAAATCAGAGAACACTAGGCAACTGCAGCCGTGGCTTAATTCATGGAACTCTTTTTTGGTAAAATAAGCATTGGGGAAATAGTAAGAAAAGCATAATTGGGACAAAAAAAAACCAGAAACATAGGCAGGCATATTTAGCAGTCCAATGAAAAAGTACAGCACCTTAGTTTATATCAGGGAGTTAAGTGAGAGTCGTTTACAAAGCTGATGTTTCTAATGTCTAATAAAGTTTTTCTTATCATGCTTAGCATTTATTTAGCACTTTGGGGACTCTAAAGTGTTTCACATTTAGTAATTGCTCATTTTCTTTAGTTACCAAATGGATGTTTTCTGTTGTAGGAAGTCCCTCTAACTTTTTACAGCTTTATAGCCTGAACACTCTGAATCACAGTGATATTTGGCAAAACTCCAACACAGAAAAGAAACTGATATTTCCCTTACAGGTATTTCTACCAACTCAGTGGTCTAACTAAAGTTATTTTGTGAAGTGTCTCCCCAAGCTCAAAGAGGTCTTCCATGTCATGACACCACCCAGTGAGTCAGACAGGGATCTCCCACAGGAGGAGAAACCATCTCTGGGCCCTATCTTTGGTCCATGCAAGGACCTGTTTTGTCTTGTCGAATGAGCCCACACATCTGGGGAGGAGCAAGCAGGCTTGTAGGGAAACAGTGTCTCTGGACTCAGATCTCAGAGCCAGCAACTTCCCTGCCCACAAACAAACTGCTGGCACAGGCCTCTGAAAATCTGTAACAGGGGCCATAATCACTCAAACACCACCTCTCAGCAAATAGCATTAAAGTGTGCCCCGGAGTACAAATATGCTAGGACTGCATAGTATTAAGGAGGTGAAAACAGCTTTTCAATCAACTCTATCACTTAGCTAAAGCTGAAAGGGGTTATTTAGGCCATCATGTGCAACCCCCTGGTCAGTAAAGGAATCTCATTTAAAGCATCCAACAGATGCTTTCAAGCCATTTCTCCTAACCTGACTCACCCTAAAGGAATGAACCACTGAAACTGAACAACTATGCTCCAAGACTTATTTGCACCAAAAAGGGTTCATGTGGCCCCACTTCTGATGGAGGTGCTAATTTACTCTCCTTGATTTGGTGCCAAAATTATAATATTGGTAATGTACCTCTGCAATCTGGTGTAAAAGGGTGAGAAATAGATTTATATTCTGTATAATAGTTTTGGAGGGCCTGTTGTCTAGATGAGATGACCTCATTTAATTAAATACACACCACAGTGATGAGCACAGCAGCAAAATTTGAGGAGCAGTACTTCTTTTGCATGTCTTACCTGTCTCTCAGGACCAGTAGGTTCAGATTCTCGTCTCCGCTGTCGGATGGCTGGTGCTGAATATAAGGGGGACTGTGTGGGACTTCCTGGTTGCTGTTCATGTTTGCTGTCAGAAACTGTCTGACAATGCCCTTCTTGTCTGTGGGAACTATCCTCCTCAGCCACAGGCTGCATACCCCGGGTTCTCCCATCGTGAATTTTCGGCCTGACTGCTGCTTCCGCCCCCAATCTCCTCCTCTCCTCACCCTCTTCAATGGGCCTCAGTTCCTCAGGTTCTTCATCTGTTGTTCCAGATGTGCTTGGCTCAGCACCAGGGTGGAAGTCCTTCAGCTCTGTTTCTTTATCAATTATAACCCACTCTTTGCTGTCAAAGTCCTCCTCCTCAGCCAGGGGCACTGATCGGAAAGCGTTGCTGAGAGCTTCATGCTCCACAGAAGCAGACACATCCATCCTGCCGCTTGCCTGTCTGTCTGCCTGGCCAGTGTCGATGGACAGCATCTGCGCCGGCTGGGAAGAACACACGAGCCGTGAAGGAGAACAAGGCAAATCCACCCGGGACCTGAAAATGACACGAAAAACCTGAAGGAACAACCCAAAACTGAAAACTGAAAGCCCGCCTAAATGTAACATTGTTAGTCCTTCTCATGTGACAAAGACAGCAAAAGATAGATGTTCTCTAAAATCTGAGCTGACAAATCTTTTGAGCACATCTACCAGGAAGCGAGATCTGCTATTAAATAAGTCTTAGATTATATTATAAACTGAAGATCTACATTTTAATTATATTCCAAGTGGTCATATGAAGGGATAGGAGAACCAGGAATTCTCTAGCTTGCTGAAATTCTCCAAATTTGACTTCAGAGTTCAGTTTGGTTTGCTCCCATTCTCATTTGCAACCTGTCTTTTTCAGTTTGCTCAAACAAGAAAGGTATAAAATTCAAACACTAAAAGTGAGCATTTCTGTGTGCATTTTTTTCAAAAGTCTGCTTTTCATCCATTCATTTAAAGGTGAAATGCACATTTTTAAAAAGCACACACCAAAATGTGCATCCTTTAAAATGTGCCTTTTCCAATGAAAACTTTGGGATTTTGCAAACATTTCTGGAAAACATGCATTCCTGTTCAGGCCAATTTTGAGTCATTTGCAAACTGAAAAAAATTCTTGGACACACCTAGGCATACATTCCTCTTCTTATGAAATATTTGTTCTATGTGCTCAGTACTGAGCATCAGAAGGGTGATCAAATCCATTTATTCACAATGGATATTATGGCAGTTCCTAGAAAAATAATTTTAAGTAATCACTTTCATTCCTGAGTTGAACCTTGCTCCAGGCCTGATAGCATTTTAGCAACTAGCACCCAAACTATTTCCACTGTCCTATTGTCTCAAGGTGCTTTCCAAGCAAGGGAAACTGGTGACTAGTGGCTGAATGAAGGTCTTAAGCTTAGCAGGCACTTATCTGAGCTTAGCCCTAGAACCTACTTTTTAATCTTTAGCACTGTCCTGAAATGTGTGTGGTTCAATAATGTTTCTGCTTGATTAGCAAGTACTCACACTAAAATTTAACTTTCTTCAGAGAGCTGAGAGCTCCTATTACAAAACACAAGATTTTTAGTTTTGGCAGTTCTTAAAGAACTTAAGACTCATTTCACATGCTAGCAAAATTATGCTCAGAATCCTACAAGGTAGGCTCCAGCAGTATGTGGACCGAGAACTACCAGAAGTACAGGCAGGATGTCAAAGAGGGAGAGGAACTAGAGATCAAATTGCCAATATACGCTGGATCATGGAGAAAGCTAGGGAGTTCCAGAAATACATCTACTTCTGCTTTATTGACTATGCTAAAGCCTTTGATTGTGTGGATCACAACAAATTGTGGCAAGTTCTTAAAGAGATGGGAGTACCTGACCATCTTATTTGTCTCTTAAGAAACCTATATGTGGGCCAAGAAGCAAAAGTGAGAACTGGGCATGGAACCACTGATTATTTCAAAATTGAGAAAGGAGTTTGGCAAGGCTGTAGACTATCACCCTGCCTATTTAACTTATATGCAGAGCACATCATGAGAAAGGCCGAGCTAGATGAATCACCAGTTGGAATTAAGATTGCTGGGAGAAATATCAACAACCTCAGATATGCAGATGATACCACTCTCATGGCAGAAAGTGAAGAGGAACTGAAGAGCCTCTTGATGCAGGTGAAGGAGGAGAGCGCAAAAGTTGGCTTGAAACTCAACATTAAGAAAACTAAGATCATGGCATCCGGTCCTCTCACTTCCTGGCAAATAGATGGGGAAGAAATGGAGGTAGTAACAGATTTTATTTTCCTGGGCTCCAACATCACTGCAGACGGGGACTGCAGCCAAGAAATTAAAAGATGCTTGCTCCTTGGTAGGAAAGCTATGGCAAATCTAGACAGCATACTAAAAAGCAGAGACATCATCCTGCCAACAAAAGTGTGTATAGTCAAGGCTATGGTTTTCCCAGTTGCAATGTATGGCTGTGAAAGTTGGACCATAAGGAAGGCTGAGCACCAA